AGAGAGAGAGAGAAACTGAAGATGGAGTGGGAGGGACTTTGCAGGGAGTTCCCAGGTGGTTTACTGCATTGTACGCGGTTCTTCCCCCAGATCTCCTGGTCTCTGCCTCCACAAGATCCCAGGGAGTGGAGACTGAGCTTGCCTCCTGTAGGCCCAGCCTGCTGGAACCAGTATAATGGTGATCCTTTGAAATAGCCAGAAGTGAGGTGGGGAGGACCTTCTCTTGTCCAACAGGCTCCAGGATGGTGGACATGTTTAGTTCTCCTAGTAGCAAATGTGTGTGTTTTGGTGGGTGCTAGGGGCTCATGGAATCCTACCACACTCCCTGGTTTAGAGCCCCTAAAATGACCAGTTACATGAAGGACTCCACAAAGCCAGGCCTCACAGGGAGGTATGAAGGGGAGGCATGGCTCTAGCTTTGATTGAGCTGGCAGATTTTCTGCCACAGCTCAATCTGAAAGTAGATGTTTTGCTTCCCACCTGCTTCTCTAAAATTAGATTCCCAGTCCTGCCCAGGTCTTTAGATCTTGTCCCTTTGAAGCCTGCTTTCCTGGAGTTAACCTCTCCTGGGCTCAGGAGGACAGAACCATGTACAGGGACACCCTCACAACTATGCCAATCTCTTACTGGAGGCTGTACCATCCCCTTCAGAGGACCCAAGGAACACCTTCACTACTAATTTCCCCTCCACTAACCCTCCATTACTAATTTCCCTTTATTCTTCAACAACTCCCTTCCTCCAAAAACCAACACACTTATTTTTAGTACAAACATCTCAGCAACAGCATGTGGGGGCCATTGCTGAGAGCACAGGTGCTTTATTGGAGAAGGGATGTGGGGAATAAGGAAGGTTCCCCCTCTGCAGGAGAATGGAAACATTCCTGGCTGCCCCCAACAACAGGATGTGTGGGGATCTCTGGCCAGGTCAGTTCACATGGGAAGACATAATAAGTCAGTCAGAAAGTCACACAAGCCTGGCTATAGGCCAAAGAGCCCAAGGCAGGTCCCCTGCACATTCATCATTAAACTATACAGGATGAGGCTGTACATAAGTTAATTACAAAAGAGTCATATTTACAAAAATCTGTACACACATTTGAAAAACTCACAAAATTGTCATCTATATATCACAAGTTGCTAGACCAAAATATTAAAAGTGGGATAAAATTATCCATTTCTCTTCTCAATTCTTTTCAAAAGGACTAATATTTTTTAAAGCATTTATATGCTACGTTCCATTAGCATGACCCATGAAGAGACTGAGCAGCCCAGCCTTCCTTGAGCCCCCAGAGGCCTTGAGCCATGAATGGGCCCAGCCAGGGGACAGTGCCCAGGGTTGGGGCAGGGAGCAGCCACAGTTCAGAACAGAATGCTGTAACACAATAAAAGGAAGATGTCTTTGGCTAAAACTTTGGCATTAAATAAAAGAGGCAAACAGGATGGAAACATGCAGCCAGGTTGGGGCTAAGCAGGGACACTGGTGACCTTGAAAGCTGGCTCCAAGAGGGTTGGGAATCAGGCCTGGGTAAGTACCTGGATGGTAGAAAGCTATGTTTCAACCAGTTGGCTGTGCCTACTGGGCCTGGCAGGGAGCACGTGCAAGAAAGAAATAAGGGCCACTTTGGCCACAGCCAGCTCATCAAGTAACTAAAGTGGATGTAGTGCAAATGTTGCAACCAAGTATTACAGACACGCTACCTGCTTGCCTTAAGGGTCACATGGCAATGTATGACAAAGGCAGGACCTTGTCCTCATTCTGGGTCCCTGTGTCCTCAGCCACAGAGAGAGCCCCAAGTTTTCCCAACATATGTGGAACAAGGGTTGACATGTCCTGCCTCCTTACATGTCTGTTGAGAGCTTTTGCATCCAAGTATCAAGGCTCAAAGTTTGTGCTTCTCTTTGCAGTCTGTGTCCCCTGCTGGCACCAGCAGGCTGATGGACAGAGGAATATCTGGGCCCCTCATTCCACAGCAGAGCACCCAGCCTGAGGCCTGCTTTAGAACATCACAACAGCTTTTCAACACTGGCAAGGTGTCCAAGAAGATCCACAGGCTGGCACACAGAGGCCTGCTGAGCAGGATGCAATGCAGTTTCATGGGGTAGAGGGGCATGGGTGGTGATGTCCCTAGGGGAGCTCCGCTGTTCTCAGGTGGGCACCAGGCCTGGGGGGGCCATACAGGGTCACTGAGGCAATGTGGTTGTTCTGCATAACCTGGTGTAAGAAGAGGACAGGGGCCAGTAGAGGGATGTAGGCCAGATCCTATGCACAGGGGCTGGAGGTTGTGTGTGCAACAAAACTACACACAAGGGCTGAGCTTCCTTTCCCAGTCATACTAGGGGCCACCTTGTCTGAGGACCTGCCTATTTCTCATGGGATACATACAACTTTTTTTTCTTTTTTTTTTTTGAGATGGAGCCTCAAGCTATCCCCCTCTGGGTAGAGTGCCATGGCATCACACTCACAGCAACCTCCAACTCCTGGGCTCAAGCGAGTCTCCTGCCTCAGCCTCCCAAGTAGCTGGGACTACAGGCGCCCGCCACAACGCCTGGCCATTTTTTGGTTGCAGCCATCATTGTTGTTTGGCGGGCCCGGGCTGGGGATTTGAACCCGCCACCTTAGGTGCATGTGGCTGGCGCCTTAGCCACTTGAGCCACAGGCGCCGAGCCAGATACATACAACTTTTACCACACTCCTCAGTCCAGTCCTGGCACCAAGCACCCACTGAAGGTATGCCATTCAGAGGGAAAATAGGGGCAAGTCTGTTCTTCCAAATCAGAAGGGCCTTCAGGGCCACTCACTCACAGTATATCTGTCTGCATGGTACTTGTAGGTTCCCAACACCCTGGGCTAGGCCCCTCTTGTCCTGTGGTTCTCTTCCGTGCTTTACCCATGTTTCAAGATATAAACTTGAGATCCCTGTGACTCTCATCTTGCTGGATATAGACCATTGCTTTGGCTCCATAACCTAAGATTTCCCCATCATCACTCTTGAACCCTCAGGCCAGGTATTCAGCCAACAGTTGCTGGGAAAGAATTAATCAGCATGGCAGTCCCAATTTCCCTCAATCACTTGCCTGTCCCTGCCATGTCCACTAATCCCTTAGCAACTTATTTCTAGGGTCTCCAGAGCTTACCTCAAAGATCATCCGCTGAAGACCAAAGCAGAAGGTGGAGCCAAAAGGGTTGGTGTTGTTTGGGGAGGAGGACCTGGGCCAGAAAAGCCAGAATTAGAGGAGCAGACAGAGGCCGAGGCCAAGGCCAAGCAAGAGATCTAGTTCCTTTCAGGATGTGGGCTATATGACTAATGTGTGTCATGCCTGTCTCTTACACAGACCCTTAAGGTCCCAGAGATAGGGATGGCCTCACTCAACTCAGAATCCCACAATGACCAATACGATACAGAAAATCACTGGGACTCTGGATTGGAGTGGTCCAGAAGTCAGGAAGGTCCCTTCAAGTAAGAGAATGCCTCACCCATACAATTCCATTGCAATAAATTTCTTAAAAATGAAAACTAATACATAGTGACAGAAATGCTGTGTTTTCCAAGGACCAGAGCAATGGAGATGATAAGAGGCAGGGCACTGAAGAATTTAAAATGTCACCTGTTGGTAAAAAATAGTAATGAAATTTAAGCCCATTGCTTTATTCTAAGGTATGTGCCTGGATGTCATTTATAATAAGTTATAAGGTAATTATTACTTCAAAAAAAAAAAAAAAAGAAAATGCCTCAGGTAGCATGGCAACCAGTAATGGGGCTATGGACTACAACAGGCAATAGCTTTGATGGGAAAAGAAGAGCCCAGAACAGCCAGCCAAGACCACCTCCTTTTCTGAATAACTAAGGGTAAGGAGGCCCCCATACCTGGAGAAAGGGTGAGAAGAAGGGAACTATCTTTAAGAGCATCCTCTCCATTATAAGTAACATGCAGAACAGTTGGCCCAGTTCTAATATGCAGGAAGTATGTTTGTGGCAACACCAGAAACTTCTAACTTCTATAATTTCTAAGAAATGCCCACTGTGCTAGGCTTTTCTGGGCCTTCTGGGCTGTGAGGAACAGGGTGGAGTAAAGAGAGACAACAACCTCTCACTCACCTGTGTAGGACAACAGGCTTCTCTACAGGGTGGCCCAGGAGCTCTTGAATGTTGTCCCACTGCAAAAGGGATAGGGAGAAAAAGGAACTAGCAGGGGCCTAAACATGGCCAGTAGACATGGCCCCAGAGTGCTGGCAGGCTAATGCCCACCTTGATCTCAGGCTGTGTCAAGTAGGAAAATAGGAACATACCTTGCTGTAGGTTGTGCATGTTTCTGTCTGTCCATCTGTGTTTTCTAAAAATAAAACACAGGGGGCAGGTTGGTAGTTGGTCCAGCCCACTTGTGCCCCCCACCCTAGGCAGGACCCAGACCTGGCCACCTTTTGCACTGGGGTTGGAGTATGTAAGGAGAACAGCCAGGCTTTTTTGGAGATCCAGGGTGGAAGAGGATAGGTGGAGGGTGACAGAAAGCCAGTCAGGTGTGAGTTACACCAACTAACAGTGGGTAGTAGGCACCAAGAATGGGCTAAAGACACCCGGATGATAATCTGTGGAGAGGAAATGTCCCCTTCAGAGGCCAGCAATCCCACAGTCATAGAAAAATGCTAGGGCCTATAGGAGACTCTGGACTAAGGACAATGCAGTCTTCAGAATAAGGAGCTGAGGCCATGGGCAGAAGCTCCATATACCTAACCATTACTTCCTTCTCTGCTTGGATCTTTCCCCCTTCTTACAGTGGGAAACTGACTCTAAGACTCCATCCTTACCTTTAAGGCATTTACCTCTCCACTCACCTTTCTTTATGGCTAGTGGGATCTTGAACTCACAGCGATGGTAACTGGAGAGAAGGCAGATGGTTAAATGCTGGTCCTTCTAGGAGGCCTGACCACTCCTGCATCCCAACCCTGCACCCCAGGAAAAACAGAACCAAATACATCTTCCCAAAGTCTTGGCTCTGAGCCCCTGACACAACATTCACTGGGGATTTAGGCTCTGAAGTTGAACAGAAAGGGGTGCCCAAACTCATGGGCCCTAAAGAGCCTAATACCTTAAATAAGACATCAAGCTTGTTGAACTGATTTTCCTATTTATAATATGGGTCCAAATGGAGAAATGTAAGGCACTGGACACTGTGCAAGGAACACAGCAAACACTCGGTAAATGTTCACTTCCGAAGAAAACAGCAAGAATTGTAGATAAATTAATGAACACCCAAAGCCACAAGCTTTCTTGTTTTTTAGTCCGAAACTTACTTCACAGAGAGGCAGGTAGGTATACTCACATGTTGAAATTGTAATGCCCAGGGTAATTGGTGTGTAGAACAAACTTCTTTACTTTGTGTGTATTTGCATCAAAGAGTATGTCCTAGGATAGAAAAGGAGGTTACTCAAGTAGGGAATGTTACCAAGGCAGGGCAGGTTTTTCCAATGCCATGCCCAACCTGGAGACACCCACTCCACAATGGAGATGTCTGCGGGCATCAGCTTTCTCCTAAACAACAGTCAAAAGGATAGCTAAGGCCAAGCAGCTTTAACTGGAGATTCAGTAATGGGGGACCTGACCATCTGTAGACCTGGTAGGCATAGGGGCAATAGCTGCATGTAAGGGAGATCTTTCCTGCCAATGGTACCTATAAAAAAATCTAACTGAAAGCAAATTTTGGCTGAAAGGCTACCAGGGGTCACCTGACTTGAGGAGATCAAGGGACCTATTTTGAATGCCATGGCCTGCCAGACCCTTCTGGCTTCTGTTTTTGCATTGAGTCAGCAACCCTTGGAACTGCAGGTTCAACTTGACCTATGTGAACTTGATGCCATGAATTGAGCATCTTCCTACCCCTCTGCATGCCCTTTTCAGCTTTGTATCTTATCAGCTGCTTAGGCCTGTGACTGCAGGGTCACCTCTGACTCTACCCTCCTACCAACAGCCAATAAAGTCCTTTTAAGGTTGGTCCATTATCTCTCTTTTTCCTGCCACTTATCATCACTGGCTCTTGAATTCAGTGGTATAGCTGCAAAAGCACCATTCCTTCTGGCCACCATCCTATCCTTAAGAGTTTATAGTCCCATAGCTGTTCTCCCACTAACCCTTAATCATGTTTGGTCTTTCCCATATAGGTACACTATTTCCCTTTTCTCCTTCTCTTGAATCTACCCTTTGCTGCCTTAGGACCTTGGATCCTAGAAGGCTCAAGGTTAGAAGACCCATGGCGCAGGCCAGCCTTGCCCTCTGACATATCTCCTGCTGGCACACTGTTTACACAGTTTACTCTTATGTGCATCCTACCCACCAGCTGGACTGTCAGCATCAATGGTGGCTACCAGCTCTGGCCACCACTAGGTCCTAAGCATAGGGCTGCAGTAATGACTCTGGGGGGGTCATCTCAAGTATATAAACATATCCCCCCTGTCTTTGAGCCTTTCAGACTATTCTGACTCCAGAAGAGGGTCCTATGCTGTATAAATGGGAAGTTCCCTAAATAGCTTAACCTACAGATTTCCATAGCCTCCATTTATGAAGCATGTTTCCCTCAGAAAAGTCAACATGTATCAAGAAACCTGGCATTTCTTAGTAATTATGGTGGCAGAAAAGATTTACTCTGGGGTACCAGAGGCTATGTAAAACAAAAGTGGGCAAGTCAGCTGGGACTAGGTTCCCTGGAGCCTAGGCATGGATATAGCTGCATGTGTACACAAAGGTGTACAAAGGTGGACTACCCACGCCAATGAACTGAAATACTTCCCTAAGGAATCACAACTTACCACTCCAAGAGTGAAGTAGTTAAAAAAGTAGTCATTGCACTTGGACGGAACTTGCTTATGAGGGGAAGGAGAATGAATTTTCATCTGTAGGGAAAAAATAACCATAATTTAAAATCTAGCTCTCCGCCATCCCCCCGGCTCAAGAATGGTGGTGTGGGCATAGCTCAATGCAACTTCAAAATCCCAAGGAAAAGTGATCCTCCTGCCTCAGCCTCTTAAGTAACTTGGGACTAGGTACACATCACCACACCTGGCTAAGTTTTCTATTTTTTATAGATGGGATCTCACTGGTTGTCCGGGCTGCTTGAATTCCTGGCCTTAAGTGATATTCCCATCTCAGCCTCCTCAAGTGTTACTTAAAACCTAACCCCTTAATACAGTCCTTGATTAAAGATGTACAAATTGTGTGTGTAAAATTAAACTGTTGAGTAAGCAATACTGTGACTGTGGGGAGTCCTAGCTGTTGGTGCTGATCAATCTAGGAGGAGAGGGGGCCAACTGCAACTAACTATGGACTAGGCCCTGGTCTCCAAGAAAGGGCAGCCACTATGGACAGAGAAAGAATCAGGGTAATTTAATCAACAGGGGTAAGAAAAGTTTTTAATTTATTTCATCATCAGCTGTAAGTAGAACGAGAATCTCTATTCTCAGCAAATATACAGTGAGTTCTTCAGGAAAGTAGCAAACAGCTTCTATTTACTCAATATTTAATTAGGGTTGATTGAAAAAAAAAGAGGAAGGGGTGAGATTGCCTATTTACTCTGTAAAGTACACTTCCCCTACCTTGTCTTCTGATTTATAGAAGACCTTGTGTGGAGAGCCAAGCATGCTAAGAACATCTTGGCAGGAATCACCAAAATACACTGAACGTTCAAATACCCGCATCTTGGCATCTGCTAAAAGGCCAGGTCCGCAACCTGCAGAGAATGAGGGGAGAGGCTGTCAGGTTGTGGATAAGACCAGAAACCCTGGACCTCTGAGGACCCCAAAGAAGCAATGGCTATGTGCTACTTTATTAGATCTGGCTGAGGGGCAAGACTATATGCAAGTGGAAATACCAGGTCACCAGGGCTTAAGACTCTACAAGAGATCACTATCTACTCAACACTTATTCAGTGCCCCCAAAGTGACATATCATTCATTTGCCAATCATTTCCTTATTGCCTACCATAGGCTACAGACACTGCTAGAGGTTGAGGAAACAAAACAGTACAGTTTCTGTCCATACATTCCATCAAAGAAGTTTATGGTATGATAGAGAAAACCCTAATCAAATCGTTATATAACTATGGTAAGACTAGTAGCAGGAGCAGGTGTTATGAAAGTGCATAATGACAAGATAAGAGGATTTGTGTTAAGAATACTTTTCAAGGCTCAGCGCCTGTGGCTCAAGCGGCTAAGGCGCTAGCCACATACACCTAAGGTGGCGGGTTTGAATCCAGCCTGGACCCGCCAAACAACAATAATGACTATAACCAAAAAATAGCCGGGCGTTGTGGCGGGTGCCTGTGGTCCCAGGTACTTGGGAGGCTGAGGCAGGAGACTCGCTTGAGCTCAGGAGTTGGAGGTTGCTGTGAAGCCATAGCACTGTACCCAGGGGGACAGCTTGAGGCTCTGTCTCCAAAAAAAAAGAATACTTTTCAATAGGTAATCCCCAAATGGAGACCAAACCCACAAGACTGTACTATGAAAGTCAAGAGTGAAACACCCATAAGTCAGTCACTCCCTAATTCTACACAAACACCTGACAGAGGCTTCAAACCCAGATAAGAACCACTATCACTCAAAAGAGGCAAACCAGGTAAGTGTAGGAATAAAAATACCTTCTGACTCGCCAGGTTTATTCTCTGGGAAGAATCTTTTTTTTTTTTTTTTGAGACAGAGTCTCACTATGTTGGCTTTGATAGAGTGCTGTCACAGCTCACAGCAACCTCCAACTCTTAGACTTAAGTGATTCTCTTGCCTTACCCTCCCAAGTAGCTGGGACTATAGGTACCCACCACAACACCTGGCTATTTTTGTTGTTGTTGTTGTAGTTGTAGTTATTGCTGTCTGGCAGGCCCGGGCTGGGTTCAAACTTGCTAGCCCTGATGTATGTGGCTGGTGCCCTAGTCGCTGAGCTACAGGTGTCATCCAGAATCTATTATTTATTTATTTTTTTATTGAGACAGAGTCTCATTTTGTCACCCTTGGTACAGTGCAGTGGTGTCACAGCTCACAGCAACCTCAAATTCTTGGACTCAAGGGATTCTCTTGCCTTAGCCTCCCTAGTAGTTGGGACTATAGGCGCCCAACACAATGCCTAGCTATTTTTTGTTTGTTTGTTTAGCGGGCCCGGGCCAGGTTTAAACCCACCAGCCCTGGAGCATGTAGCCAGTGCCCTAACCACTGAGCCACAGGAACCCCCTGGGAAGAATCTTTAAACCCTGACTCTCCATAATACATTTCAGAAATGGTTCCAGTTAATGACACAAATACACACACAAATGTAGAAGTGGCTGTGGGAACACTGAGACACACCAACAGTAGAATTTCCTTATTCTGTGAATGAGGAGATAAGGTATTATGCCCAAAACAAAAAAGGAAGCCAAGGATCAGAGGAGCACCACAGTTCCTGGGGTCATGACAAACAATGACATCACCTTACTTGGCACAAGCTTTTACAGTTATCAAAGCTCTTTCATGTATAACAATCCATTTGCTCTATTCAGAAGCTTCAAAGAACCAAAATCTGAAGTGACTAGGTACTGAGCTCTTCAACTAACCCCAAAATCTCCATCCTCTGAAAATACAGTGAGTGACAAATAAAGGCTATGTATAAGTTACCTAGATCCTGGGAAAAGCATGATCTTCATTAACCTCTGTTCATAAAATCTTCTAGCTTAGACAAGCTTGGGTGACCTATGGAACCTACCAAAAATACTATCGAGCTGAACTGAGGGCCCAAAGTATCTTGGTATTTCTCTAGGCTACCACATACCTGTGAATGTCCAGATAGGCCTGGAGGGAAGGGAGCCTTTACAGGTGAGTCTTCTCATTTGTCTCCAGGCTGCTTGGCTTAAAGCCTACCCAAGTAGAATTATCTACAGTTTTAGGGGACTACTTTAGTTTGTGATTCCCTGGAGTATGTCTTCCTATAAATTATTGTGGGGACCAAGACAGCTGACCTGACTTCCTACATCAGAAGCATCATTACAGATAGACACACAAGGAAATAGATATAAGAAATAGGTCAGTTGAGACTCTATGCTTGTCAAACAAAACTCAATGAGGACTGAATTGGACAATAATTCTGTAAGGCCCTGACTTAACAGAAAGAGTCTTTTCCACTGACAGTGTAAGCAGTGAGAGGTCTGACTGTTGGGAGCGTGCTGTGGGGGCGGGGGCGGGGGGCAGCCAGAATTGGCTGAGAGCCTCACACTCAAGGGGTTCGTGCTGTGATTAAGGGCCTCAATCCTGTTTTTTGAGACAGTCTTTTTTTTCTTTATTAAATCATAACTGTGTACATTGATACATTTATGGAGTACAGTATACTGATCTGAAGTACAATGTAAAATGCTTACGTCGAACTAACACATCTATACTTTGCTTACTTATCTGTTGTGGTAAGACAATTATACTCTTTTCTTTTCTTTTTTTTTTTTGAGACAGAGTCTCAAGCTGTCACCCTGGGTAGAGTCCTGTGGCATCATAGCTTACAGCAACCTTAAACTCTTAGGCTTAAGCGATTCTCTTGCCTCAGCCTCCCAAGTAGCAGGAGCTAGAGGTGCCCACCACAACACCTGCCTATTTTTTTGTTGTCATTATCATTGTTGTTTGACAGGCTGGGGCTGGATTTGACCCTGCCAGCTCTGGTGTATGTGGCTGGCGCACTAGCCACTGAAATACAGGCACCAAGTCATACTCTTTTCTTAATAATTTTATTTATTTTTTTGCAGTTTTTGGCGGGAGCTGGGTTTGAACCCGCCACTTCCTGTATATGGGGCTGGCACCCTACTCCTTTGAGCCACAGGTGCTGCCCTCTTAATAATTTTAAAATGTACCATTGCATTATTCACATTAGGTGAGGTCCCACAAAATACCCTCCCTCCTCCTGACTGGAGGGTCTTACTCTGTTCCCCAGGCTAGAGTACAGTGGTGTCATCATAGCTCACAGTAACCTCAAACTCCTCTGAGTTCAAGTGATCCTCCTGCCTCAGGCTCCCAAGTGTAGATGGGACTACAGTACAGTTGTGTGCCACCATGACCGGCTAATGGCCCTGATCTTTGACTACCTTGCTGTTTCAAGCAGCAATCATCCTGAAAAAGCAGATTCTAAAAATCACTTCGCCTTGATGCCACATCTCAATTCTCTCAAAAACTATAGTTCAAGTACAATAATCCTTTAAATAGTTGTTGTTCTACTTTGGCTTAAAAACCATACATTTTAAGAAATTTCTAACCTTGAGGTTGTAAACTATCCAGTTATTCAAGGGCGTGAGCTCAGAATGTATGTACCAGATTCTTTTTTTTTGAGACAGAGCCTCAAGCTGTTGCCCTGGGTAGGGTGCTGTGGCATCACAGCTCACAGCAACCTCCAACTCCTGGGCTTACGTGATTCTCTTGCCTCAGCCTCCCAAGTAGCTGGGACTACATACAGGAGCCCGCCACAATGCCCAGCTATTTTTTGGTTGTAGCTGTCATTGTTATTTGGTGGGCCTAGGCTAGATTCAGCTCAGGTGTATGTGGCTGGCGCCTTAGTTGCTTGAGCCACAGGTGCCAAGCCTTTTTTTTTCTTTGAGACAGAGTCTCACTATGTCGTCCTCTGTAGAGTGCTGTGCAGTCACAGCTCACAGCAACCTCAAACTCTGGGTCCAAGTGATTCTCTTGCCTCAGCCTCACAAGTAGCTGGGATTACAGGTGCCCGCCACAATGCCCAGCTATTTTTGGTTGTAGTTGTCATTGTTCTTTGGCAGACCCAGGCTGGATTTGAACCCGCCAGCTCTGGTGTATATGGCTGGCACCTGTAGCCGCTGAGCTACAGGCACCAAGCCATATGTGTCGGATTCTTAACAGTTAGGAACCAATGCCTCAGAGACTAATGCAAGACCCTAATTTATAAAAAAAAGTGCTGGTTAGACTATGAGCTCCAAGAAGGCATGGCCCTTCTGTTGAGTCTCTTTAGTGGGTCAAACTTCACACTGAAGACCCCAGTTCTATTAAGCATGATCCAAGGCCCAAAGCAGCTGATAGTAGCCAGATATGAGAAAGTCACAAAATGAGGCATGGGTCCTGAAGAGACCAGCTACAAAGGTGGAACTCTTCTTTTGTTGTTGTTGTTGTTCACAAGTCAGCGAACCTCTTGGCAAAGTGTGGCCAAACCACAATTCAACAAGTTTCTTCTGCTACCTATTCTGAGAACTTGGCATTAAAGGTAGAAAAGGTGAGAGCAGGTAACACTGAGTGTGGTTCACAGGATGTATCTCTAGGAAACAACCTAGAAACTGCAGCAAAGCTACACTGAACATAGCTGACCTGCCTGTATACTGACAGAAGCTGTGCTACTGTTGCTTACTAAGATTTGATAACAATGAGATTGTGCCCTGACCCTTGACAAAATCAATTAAACAAAGCTTTAACCATAAATATCTGCATTGTTGTTTTCTACCAACTATCTGGCAATGGACTGAGTACTCATGTTCTCCTAAAATTCATGTTGAAATCCTAACCCTCAAGGTGATGGTATTAGGAGGTGGGGGCCCTTTGGGAGGCGATTGCCAGGTTATACCTACAAGGGCAGAGACCTCAAGATTGGAATTAGTGTCTTTTTATTATTTATTTATTTATTTGCAGTTTTTGGCCGGGGGGCTGGGTTTGAACCTGCCACCTCTGGGTGGGGCTGGTGCCCTACCACTTTGAGCCACAGGTGTCACCCTGGAATTAAGTGTCTTTCTAATACAGACACCAGAGAGCTAGCTAGCCCCTTCTAACATATAAGGACACAAGAAGTCTGTGAACCAGACAGTGGGCCCTCACAAGATACTGAATCTGCTCAATCTTGGACTTCCCAGTCTCCAGAACTATAAGAAATAAATTTTTGTTGTTTAGAAGTCACTCAGTTTATGGTATTTTCTTATAGCAGCCTAAATGACTAAGACATACTTCTAAGCAAACGGGATTTTACATTTTAACATGGATGTAATGGGGAACCCACCCACTTCAAAGCCAGTCACTGACCTGCAGCAAGTAGGCGAAGTCGTAAACCTGCAGGTCCAGTTCCATCTCGAAGAACATCTACACTCTCAGCATATACATTGCCCAGGAAACAGCTCAAGGGCATCAGGGGAGCCCTGGAGGAAGGTACAGAATGAGCAGAGGCTTGGTCCTCCCTCCCAGGAAGCCATGGCCTTAGCCTAAAACTCATGCTCCTAACACTTACTTGGTATCCTGTAGGCTGTTTCCGCTGTAGATATACATTCGTTTTACAGTAGCTCCATGGGGTATCTGGAGAGAAGCCAGGCCATGGGCAAAATTGGGCTGCAAGTACAGGATGGGAGTTGTATTAAGGGCACACTGCAGGTCATGGGACTTTGGCTCTGCTCCTCCCTGACACTCATGGTTTTCAAGAACTGGTCAGGTCAAAGCACATAGTCAAACCTGGCTCTGGGTCAATAAATTCCCCATAACCATGCAAGTTCACCTTTAATTCTGGTGGTTTTTCTTTTCTTCATCAGGAAAAAAATGCTGAAATGCTTGCTTAATAAAATATAAGCCTTACAAAAGCTATCATTTTCACAACCCTAAGGATGGTATAGCCTAAGTATGAATGAAATGTTCGCTGAAAACAACTGAAAATCCAGAGGATGAAATCTCCAAATTCTAGGCCACTGAGAAAATTGCAGTGATTAAGAGCTTGAAAGTAAGGCATGGCTGGATTTATCCCTGAAAAGTGAGCCCGACCTCACTCCTCTTCCTAGGGATGCCAGCCTAGGCCATGTTCTTCCTCTGTCAACCCCCCACACTCTGCTCTTTCTTGCCCCCTAAAGAGTCCCCCGCCCTACTCCCACAGCACTGTCTGTTCACTCACACCACATGAGCCCTGAGCAACAAACACCAGGGAACAAGAAGGGCTAACCTCGTACTTGGGAGCCTCAGTCCACGAGTCTAACTGAAAAGAGAAAGACAGTCCTCTGAAGTTGAGGTGGAAGAGCTGCTCAGCAGAGTTGTACACTGTGGGGGTGGGGGAGAAGAAAATGACATGGTTGACTGGCATCTGAAGTCACTAACATAAACCAGTCTGGCATGGGATAATGACTGCCAACATCTTCCTTAGGTCTTATTTCTGAGCTGACCTGGTAGGGTGAAAATGAGGAAGACAAGCAAGTACCAACCCCACAATCCTATGGGGTCCTGACTTTAGGGAGAAGGGTGGGATGTGCCATTGTCCAAGTTTATTGCTATGGGCTGTCATGGATGACCAGAGGAATCAGATAGATTTGGCTTACCTCCAGGATGTGTTGCACCAAAAGACTGATCAATCTGCTCAATGGTAGGAGCTATGGCCTGAGAATTAAAATGCACGCCACTGAAAAACAAAAATATAATGTATATATATTATATATGTGTGTGTGTGTGTGTGTGTTTGTAGTTTTTGGCTGGGACTGGGTTTGAACCCACTAACTCTGGCATATGGGGCCAGCACCCTACACTTTTTATTTTTTGAGACAAGAGTCTTAAGTTGTTGCCCTCAGTAGAGTGCCACATAGCTCATAGCAACCTCCAACTCTTGGGCTCAAGTGATCCTTCTGCCTCAATTTTTTCTATGTTTAGTAAGAGATAGGATCTTGCTTTTGCTCAGGTTGGTCTCAAACTCATGAGCTCAAGCAATCCACCT